TTTATTCAATGATTAAATTTATTATTTTTCATTAATTTACTAAAAATATAATTAGGATTGTAACTTAAAAATTATAAATAAATTATTACTTGTGTTAAATGGTCTTTAAAAATTGAGTAAAAATTTATCTTTATCATATTATAAAACGATGTATTTCGGTTCATTTTGGACCCTATGTGTGAGATAAAAAATATTAAAAAAATGACTAGATAACGGATTCAACTATGCAACGTCGATATACGTTCGGATTTTGTTATATCGCGACTGCTGTAATACCCCTAATTTTAAAAGGATAGTCCTGTCATTTATTTAATTGTTTAATCCTTTATTTAATTGTTTAATTGCGTATTATTTTATTTAATTGATTATTTTAATTGTGTGTTTCTTCCATGATTATATAAATTTGACTTTGTTTTAATTAATTGATTAAAGTGTTTTATTTTCTTTTGTTAAATTGTTTTAAATTAAATATGTTTATGATGTTTTATTTGACTTAATTGATAATTGGTTTTATTTAATTAAATTGGTTTAAATTAGGATTGTGTTTTCTGTGTATTCACGTATTAGCGACATAGGTCATAACTTAGGTTATTTTTGGGCCGACTAAGTGTTGCATTAGGGCTCAACTTATACAAGGATTAAGGTTGGATTACTACACCTATAAATATGACCTTATGTGGGTTTAGAGTTAGAGAAAAAAATACATAAAATTCTATTCCCGTATACAGTGATACAAAGAGTTGTGAGAGCAGAGAAACAGAGAGGGATTAAGGAGGGAAGCTAGGGTTGTGGGCTTCAACTAAGACTAAACCAAGAGTGACGGAGGTGGAACAACAGTCGGAAACTTTGTCAGAAAATTCAGGAGACGACAGTTTAGAGTTTCAAATCTGAAACTTAAGGCAAGTCTTGTTCTTCTCTATCTCTTTAATCTGTGTTCTGTGCATGATTAGCTAGACTCCAGGGATTAAATAAAGGATAAAACAAAATTGTAATGCATGCGTAATTGGACTAAAACAGAGAGTTTCATGATTATATATGTTTATTCGTGTTTTCTTTATTTCTTTGATCTTTATGCATGAACTGTTGTTTAAATTGAATTTTTGCCTACTAAAACATCTAAAATAATTTAGTATGGACGTATGGGACATAGGTGGAAGCTTAGAGGCTTTAACAATGAAGTTTTAGGGTTTACAGAGGCTAAACAGACGAAGAAGACGGCTTCAGCACCAACTTAGCCGACTCAATTAGAAACTGAGCCGACTCAGTTGGCAACTGAGCCGACTCAGTTGGGAACTGAGCCGACTAAGTTAGCAACTTAGCCTACTAAGTTAGCAACTTAGCCTGCTCAGTTGTAACTTAGCTTGCTCAGTTGGGATTTTTGGTTTTAAACGCCCAGTTTGGGTTTTTTGTGCACTGTTTGGACTATACAGAGTGTTAGCACTTCGTTTAAATTGTTTCAAATGATGTATATTATTGTTTTAGACCTTTAAGAATATAGGTAAATAATGATTCATAAATGGATTAAGGTATGGACAGTGTATAGTTAGGGGAAGATCCTACATGTTGAGCTTTGAATGTTAATCAGCTTATACTTTGGAACTTGGAGGATTGTTTATATATGATTTAAATTTTAATTAATCATATTTAGATAGGATTATAAGTAACATGGATTACTTTAATTTAACCATGCTTGTGTTGGATCAAATTAATTTTCACTTTGCTATACATCTGCATCAGTTTATGGATAATTTGGAGGATGTGAACGCTTATACTTGTTTTAGCTATTTACATTATTGGAATTGGATTTTTAGGCTCTATAACGACTGCCTAATATTGATATATATGTGTTAATTTATATTGATACATGTTTTGAATGATGGTTGTTGGATATATATAGTGTCGTTTTATTAACTATGCTATATGGAGGATTGTATGCACCGGTATGGGACGGTGACATACTGGGTATGGACTAGTTCAAACACTGTGTTTTACCTAACTTGGATTGAGTTATGGATTAATCACAAAGATTAAGTCCATCACCTATATGTGTCATATCAATTGTGAATTGAATGATCCATTATGGTTTCAGGATGGATTTGTTATACATATATCAAACCACTACACAGATGGATGGTATTTTGTATTAGGAAGAGTACGGACTTTATATATATATTATATGGTACCGTGGTATGAGTTTGAGTCTCATGACCATGGTTAGGGTGCGTATATCGCCTAGGATGGATAACTGGATATAGATGTTGTTTCTTGGTAGGTCTAGGTACTCATGCCCACCTTAGGGTGTGTATTCACATGTTGCCTTCTATTCAAGCTGAGACAAACCTACTGGACTAGCGAGCGTCTTATAGTGTGTACTATATACTTATATGGACTACTCTAGATATTGTTGAGTCTTCCTAGGATGTATCTGCGTATCGGATTACTGTTTAGATTGTAGTAGATCAGAACTTGCATGTGGGTCTGACCCACTTCTTTATTTTTTCAGATGTTCGTCAATTCTAGAGTTAGAGCTTGGACGTGCAGAGCAGATACAGATATTTATTCCTCCGACTATGTAGGAATCTTCTTTATGTTAGCTTTAGACTTTATTTCTATTATTTCAGTTTCGGTTTGAGAATCTTTAATAAGGGGTCCAATGGATGGATTCCCAAGTTGTAAACCTATGGAGTTTGGATTTAACAGATTTCTATAATTATATTATTTTAAGGATTTTCAATTAGCATTCTTTCAGCTTATTATTTCTATTTCTTATTTTATCTTGTATTCTGTGTTCGGTTACATATTAATTGTTTGAAATCCCTCGGGTTTGGGCCTGAGCCTGATCAACCCGTGTCTCGGATCTGAGGGGTATCACAACTGCGTTCATGATTACAACTGATATCGCGATTACAAATCTTGATAATAATCATAACTATATAAGTGATTTAACAACATTAATAATAGAAAATACCATAGAGTAGAAGCTCCACCGTTCTTGATTCTAATTACAATTCACAACGTTAATGATAAAGAATAAGAATTTCACACCAATTTCTTACAAATATCATAGAGTATCTTGCTAAAAAATGCACTACTGAATGAGACAACGGTCATCAATTTATAATTCACGCCGATTTCTTACAAATATCATAGAGTAGCACATGTCCTGCTAAAAAATGCACTACTGAATGAGACAACGGTCATCAATTTATAATTCTAAGAGTTCACGATTTTATGAAATAGAGTGACCAGTAAGATGACTTCTAAAAAGCTTCGCAATAGTGTGGGCTACCTCATTGCCATTCCTATGGACATGGCTAAGACAGGATGAGGAGAAGCTCCGAAGCTCCACTTTAATATCATAGGATATTGCTCTTGTCTATATTCCTATTGATATTCTTGTTCTGACAGCTAAGGATTTTTCTTTGTTTTTGCAAGGATACAAAAATAATAATAAAAAAAAATAAAATTGGCCCTTTAAAAACCTTGATTCTTTGTTTTTCCTAGAGAAACCAAGAAAAACAAAGTAGCTGCAATATTAAGGACAGGATTCATTCTTTTTTCTATCTGTAATTTTTTTTTTTTTACCAAAATTTTCTTCCCTCCGATCACTAAAAATATAAAATAGTTCAAAATTTCTTTTGGTTTACATTTCTAAAAAATTACTGAATTTCACAAAAATATATATATATATTTTTAGTAGATCTCTAAAAATATTCACAAAAATTTTAAAAAATATATATTTGAACTAAAATGCCTAAATTGCCCTCTATTTTTTTTTTTTTTTTTTTTTTTTATTTTTTTTACTAGAGGCCTGTGTGGACTTGGTCTCATCCCAAGACACCCACTGGACAGCCAATACGTGTGCTAGGGAGAGAGCACTGAGCAATGCCAAGCCAAGTGTGAAACCTGAAAAGGGCATTGGTACGTTACTGTTGAAGAGTACAGAAAAAGGCAATGTAAAAGCTAGTAATATTTTTCATGACGTGTGTGACCCGACTATGTGGTATCAACCAGTAATTCTGTCAGTCAAAACTTGGTCAATTGAAACACAGAAAAAAATAGATAGATCTCCTTCCATCATATTTCTCCTTTCTAAATTCCTTAATATATATTTTTACTACTAATTTATGACACTTTCTATCTTGAGTGTGTGCACAATATAAAACGGTGAAGAATTTTTTTTATGAAACACAATGCGAGAAATAAAAATCGTGTTCCATCGATGTCGTGGGAGTATATAACACAATTCATCTGTAATATTTTACTAGTGTCATGATTCTCCCTCTTTCGATATGTTGAAATGAATAACTAACAAATATAACTTGTACTTTGAAAGTGCATTAAACATAAATTATATTTTAAAACTTTACCAAATTGGTAATATTTCTTATTTTGAACTCATGACTTTTGAATTATAATTATTTTTTAAAAAAATAAATTTTTTATTTCTATATATTATATAATGATTATATTAATGATTTTGTTAGATTTGGTCCAAATCAAACTATTAATAAATGATTTCATACTTTTAAAATATAAATTGAATAAATTCGTAGAAAAATCAAACCAAATTTACCATTTAACAATTCAAATGATTTTTTATACACCCTTGGATGGAGCAATCTTATGCTAGTCTTGAACATTAAAATTAAAAAATATATTTTTTTCAAAACACAAAAAGTGGGACTAAGATTGAAATTTATGGTGCTAGTAAATAAACAGTTAGCAAAGGACCAAACAGTGTGTGAATGTGGAGAGCTAATGGCTTTGAATATTCAAAAGGTGGAGAAGAAAACGGTCGCTTTCATTGGGTTTTCTTTGCTTTGCTGATCGAGGACAGTGCTTTGCTTTCTTTCTTTCGTTCTTTCATTTTTTATTTTTTATTTTTTTTATTTTTTTTATTTTTGTGTGTGTGAGAAAGTCGTAAAGAAAGTCAGTCCACACGGAATACAAGTCTTTGAGATGACTGTCACTCTCATCAATATATATACACACGTATATATATATGCATACATATATTTAGAGGCTAATTGAATTGATGCTTCGTGGTAGATCACTGAAGACTTCATTCAGACTTTCGACCCTTTTAATCTCTCTCAAGATTGAAGCAGAGAGCAAATTGAAGAAGCTAGGCTGTGTGTGTGTGTCTCTCTCTCTCTCTCGAGGGTATTGTTGATTCTGCCTCTGTTCTATATTATTAATTCATATCTATCTGATTCAAGCTAGCTCTGAGAATTTTGCATCGAACCCAGTTGTTTAATTTCTATCATCTGATCTGGGTATAGTCTCTTTTTATTTTTTGATGATGATTTTGAGTGATTGTTAGATTTTCTTGGGATTTCTCTGAAGAATAATTTTAGGTATTGCTTCTAATTTTATTTTTGTTAGTTTCTTATTTTAGCTTTATATCTCTCTTCTTTTGGGGTTAAATTTCTCTTTCAGTTTTTGACTCTGAAGTTGTCTTCTATTCATAGTTCTTTTTTCTTTCTGATAGATTAGTGGTCTCTATACTCCCATTTTGATCTTGTGGATTGTATTCTTAACAGTAGGCTAATTACTTGGTTGGCTGAATTAAATTTTAAGCTAGCAAACCCTAAATTGCTAGCAAAGCAATTTTTTCTTCTTTTTGTATTCTGGGGTTTGGAGAGAACTAAAAATTGGGGAAACTTCTTGTTGATGGGAATTCTCATGAAGATGAGCCCAAATGGCAGAGATTTTGGTGTCCTTGTGTTCCATAGTTTGTTGTGGGTAATGTTGCTTGGTAGTGGTGGTAGTAGTAGAAGCAACATTGGTGTGGCCTATGCTACTGTAACTGATATATATTGCTTGAGAACCATAAAGGAGTCTCTTAAGGACCCTCTTAACTACTTGACTTCCTGGAATTTCAACAACAATACTGAAGGTTTCATCTGCAAATTCATCGGTGTTGAGTGCTGGCACCCGGATGAGAATAGGGTCATAAACATCCGCCTTTCGAACATGGGTCTCAAGGGTCAATTCCCTCGTGGTGTCGAGAATTGCTCGAGCATGACCGGCTTAGATCTTTCGAGCAATGAGTTATCCGGGCTCATCCCTTCAGATATATCCAAGAGGCTCCCATATGTGACAAACCTTGATCTCTCTTCCAACAGTTTTTCTGGTGAAATTCCGTTGAGTCTAGCGAATTGTACTTACTTGAATGTCCTTAAGCTTGATCACAACCAGCTAACCGGTAGCATCCCCTTGGAACTTGGCCAGCTTGGCCGGATTAAGACGTTTACCGTTGCCAACAATTTCTTGACGGGTCAGGTCCCCAAGTTTGCTAGTTCAAGCATAACGGTGGATAGCTATGCAAATAATCCAGGACTCTGTGGGAGCCCTCTGGGTCTTTGCCAGGGTCCTCCAAATAAGTCTCGTGGCGGAGTCATTGCAGGGGCGGCTGCTGGTGCGGTGGCTGTTACCGCGCTTCTTGTGGGTATAGTTCTTTACTACTACTCGCGAGGGATGGCTACAAAGAAGAAGGAAGATGACCTTGAAGGCAATAGATGGGCAAAGAATATCAAAGGAGCTAAAGGCATCAAGGCAAGTTTCTTTAGTTCTTATAGTCTCTTACAATAAAGAATCTGCTATTATATGTTTGTTACTAGCCCAAGTCCTTTCAAGTTGCTAATGTAGAAATTTGTTTTGTGATTTCCAGGTTTCAATGTTTGAGAAGACCGTTGCAAAAATGAGCTTAAGTGACCTCATGAAGGCTACTGATAGCTTCAACAAAAGCAACATCATTGGAACGGGAAGAACTGGAACAATGTACAAGGCAACACTTTCTGATGGTACTTCCCTCATGGTTAAGAGGTTGCAAGACTCTCAACACTCAGAGAAAGAATTTACAGCAGAAATGAACACTCTGGGTAGTGTGAAACATGCTAATTTGGTGCCCCTCTTGGGATTTTGCATGGCAAAGAAGGAGAGGCTTTTGGTGTACAAGTACATGCCCAATGGGACGCTCTATGACCAGCTCCATCCGGTGGAACCTGAGGCAAAGGGCTTGGAGTGGCCTGTGAGGCTCAAAATTGGGATTAGGGCAGCCAGGGGCTTGGCATGGATGCATCATAGCTGCAACCCCCGAATAATCCATAGAAACATAAGCTCCAAATGTGTGTTGTTGGATGAGGATTTTGAGCCGAAGTTATCTGATTTTGGCCTTGCAAGGCTCATGAACCCTATTGACACCCATTTAAGTACTTTCGTGAATGGGGAGTTTGGGGATTTGGGTTATGTTGCTCCCGAGTATCTACGAACATTAGTTGCCACACCAAAGGGGGATGTTTACAGCTTTGGAACTGTGCTACTCGAGTTGATAACCGGAGAGAGACCTACCCATGTAGCTAATGCCCCTGAAACCTTCAAGGGCAGTTTAGTGGAGTGGATCACAGGTCTGTCAGGCGACTCTCTTCTCCATACTGCCATTGACAAGTCTTTGCTCGGGCAAGGTTTCGATGGGGAGCTCAAGCAATTTCTCAGAGTCGCTTGTAATTGTGTGTCGCCGAATCCTAAGGAGAGACCAACCATGTTTGAAGTGTACCACCTTCTTAGAGCTGTTGGAGAGAAGTACCATTTCACAACTGATGATGAGATTTTGATGCCACTGACTGATGCTGGTGGTGCTGATTTTCAGGATGAACTTATCGTTGCTCAAGAACCAGAAGAGATCAGTTACAGAAGTAATTTTGAGATTACTATGCAGTAGTAGTAGTAGTTTGATGCCATATTAAAAAGTGTTATGATCAAATACATAATACTTGTAACAGTTATGACTTGTAGTAGTATGCAACGTGCATTATTTGATGTTTAGACCATTAACTGTAAATATGTTTGATGTTCTTGTAATGTTGAGAATTAGGATACTTGTTTCCTCCCTGACATGATTGTGGATTGTTGAGTCCTCTACACAATGCACCAAAACTTTGTTGTTCATTCAATTCATTTCTATAGGCTCCGAACACACTACTATGTATCCTCTCTAAATCCCGCAGTGATGAGTCTCTTATGCATTGGGCTAGTCAATCATATCACGTATCCTCTTCAAATCCCATAGTGATGAGTCTCGTGCATTAGATTGGTCGGCCCTGCAATGACGGAGCTGGTGTATTGGGCTATCCCTTCTCTGTAAAATTTATTCACAGAGGAAAGTTGAACGCTAAATGATTAGCTATGAATTTGAAGTTCCTAGGATTTGGCAAGTTCTCATAATCCTTAGCTTCACTATGTTTGGTTATTAGATTAGTCATTTTTTATTTATTTATCTGACAAATTTCTTTGCACGTACTTTCTTCCTTTGTCCTTGAAATTATACTTAATTCTTTTAAATTCTATTGAAACATAAAAGTAAGAGACATAATTGGACTTTGGAGTAGAATCAAGAAAATCACAAAAAATGGAGGATGGCCATTTTTATATTTAATGTAGGTGAAAGGTGGTCCAACTTTGTAGATTTTTCAACCCATCACATCACATAATTGATAGGGAGGAAGGAAAAGGAGGGATTGACTAAGTTTTCCACTGATGATGGTGGAAGGAAAAGGAGGGGGGAAAGGACGGAAAATGGATGGAATATCCAAAGACAACATAATTTTAAGTGTGTTAATTTATATGTTTGAGGGTATAATAGTAAAGTAAATATTATCCATTTTTTTCTTCCACTAGACAAGTGGAAGGAGAGGAATGGACACTGACTCTTTCAATGTAGTAACGTCTCTTCCCTGCAACCTTTTCTTTCGTTCATTTTTTCCACCCCCGTGTCACGTGAGATTAGGGTAATTTTAAGGAATAATTGTAAACACAAAGTTTGCATCTATTAAGGCAAAATTAAGGAACTGTCGATGTAATTCCCAAGAAATATTTTAATGCTCATATTTTTTATAAGATGATATTATAAACTAATTGAATGTTGATACGAAATAATAAAATTTCACTAACTAAATATAATTTTATTTATGTGACGGGATATAATTGGTTGATAATATTGACATGTTATTATCGCTGTAGGAAAGATTTTTTTGTAATTCATTCAAAAATTTACAAGATACTGTATGTTAGTTACAACTTATGAAACACGAATACGTACACGAGTACCATACGATACAGACATAATTCTTTAAAAAAAAAAAAAATTGATACTAGTACAGGGCAATTTTTAAAAATATATATAATTTTTTTTTTTACATAAAAAATACAATAATATTATAATTTAAATCCAATAATTAACATCCTTTCTTTCCACGCGGGATGCATTTCAGATATTATTGACCCCATGAATATTATTAACACTTCTGCAAGTGAAGCATAAACAAAAAATTGAAAGTTAAAAGACCATCACCTAGTATGTGATATTTGTTAATCCAAATTGTATTAAGTAAAAACCTACTCATATATATATATATATATTATTTCTAGACCAAGTGGAAGAAAAAATGAACACTCCTCTTTCCTTAAAATATTTCTTCCATCCATCTTTTTCTTTTTCTTTTTCTTTTTCTTCGGCTCACTTTTTTCATTCCCTATTCACATGTAGCATTAATTAATGCGTGACTTAAATATTATATAACCTCTATGTCACAGGCCTAGAGATTTGGCGCAGCGGCACGGCCCGTGCGGCACCAAGGCGTTGCTTCAGCTCGCGCGCAGCGGCACGGCCCGTGCGGCACCAAGGCGTTGCTTCAGCTCGCGCAAGCGTTCTGGTCAGCCACCACAACCTGTCCTCCTAATGATACATGCTGACTGATTTCGATCTGCCTTGGTCTCATCAGGGGAACGGCTCCAGCTCCCGACCAATTTATGCAGGGATAGTTCACACTGCACTCGCCCAATGATAGGCCTAGGACCAAGGGGACGTCCACTCCTCAAGGACGTGACTCTTCTCCGTCATGCCGCCTCCACAACATCCCGAGCAAGCAAGGGCCTCCTGCCGACTTGATGCTCGCCCTTCACCACTGTTTGCATCACCTAAGGAGCTCGCACGAACTTTGGCTCCAGTGAGCAACTTCAACGGACGCCTCTTCCCGTAAAGATAGAGGCTCTCCCCCCAATTGCATTGATTCCTCCTCATCGACACAGCTTCAGTGCACCGTCTTCATTCTCTGACCCCTCCCGGACCAACAAGGGGGCACCTCATCGTGCTTTACCCCCAGTCCTGCTCTGATACCATTTGTCACATGTCTAGAGATTTGGCGCAGTGGCACGGCCCGTGCAACACCAAGGCGTTACTTCAACTCGAGCAAGCTCCCTGGTCAGCCACCACGACCAGCCCTCCCAAGGATACATGCTGGCTAGTTTCGACCTGCCTTGGTCTCATCAGGGGAACGACTCCAGCTCCCGACCAGTTTGTGCAGGGATGGCCAACTCCCTTCTTTATAGTCAAGTCCACAACCAGCGACAAGCTCCTCGCACACAACCGAGTCGACCTGTCTGAACTCTGAAGAGGTACCATCCTGTGCTCCTGCACGCCCTTTCCCTCGAACCATTCCCAGTCAAATTCTACTATTTGCCAACCAGTATGCTTGTCTTCCATCCTCCAAGCGTCTTAGGAATCACTTTGTGACATCTAGCTAACAAACACACACACACACAAGCAAAAAAGAAAGTTGCTTAACAAAAGGACAATGCAGGATATTTCGGATATTATTGACCCCATGAATATTTTGTTACCGAAGAGTTGACCTCATAAATATCAAGATTTCAATGTAATTTTTTATACTATTTGCAAATAAGTGATTTGTCTTTATACTCATATATATATATATATATATATATATATATATATATATATATTAATTATTACACTTACCTGAATTTTTACCACCATTCCCTAGGAATTACCCTATAAATTAAAGTTCATACACTTGAAAGCTCATTTCTATCACCAACTTACCGGCAAACTCTAAATTTGTTAAACCATTGCTACAATATTTGTTAAACATCATTTTTTTACATGCTCTCAACAGTTTGTAAAATCTTTCTAAAAATCCCTTTTAATTTAGAATTATAGAAAATTATACATCTTTTAACATTGTGTTTGCCCAAGAGCCACAATTCAACCAAATTATAGATATGTTTCCTGTTTTTCAATAAGTTAACAAACGAGATTTTCTCAGTTAGGAAAAAAAAAACATATATCAAACAAATAAATCAAAGTTTGAATAAAATTATATTGTTTTTAGTGCATAATCACGGAATTCAATATAGATCCCTTGTATCAATTCTCCCTCCCGTCAGTGAGGGTTCTCTCCGTCCGTGAGAGTGGGTGGGTTTTTCCTTTCCTTCCTTTGTTTGCCCGGTGCTCGTGGGTTTGGTGTTCTGATCTTCCCGGTGGTGTTGGTGTTGTTCCCCTTCTGCGGTTTTGTGCTTATTGGGTGTTGTGGTTGTTCTGCTTTTGGGGTTGATCGGATGGGGTTGGTTGGTGGTTGGGTCTTTGGTACCTATTCCTTTGGTTTTCCTTTCGATCCCGGTATTTGGGTGGTTTGCTTGGTTTTTCTGGTCGTCCTCCTGTTTTCTCACCTTTTGTTTGTTGCCGTAGGGTGGTTGTCTGTGCTACTGCTTTCTGTGGCCCTGAATTTTGGGTTTTGGTTGGATGCTGCAAGGGCTGTTCTGTCTTCGAGTTCGCTATTTGGGATCGGTGTGTCGTTTTCTTGGTCATGCGTGTCGGATGTTCTCTCCTGTTTCGGGTTGTTGCGCGTTGGCCATGATATTGAAGCAGGTTCACTGCTCCTTCTTCTTGTTCTGTTCAGAGCTGCCTCGCTTCCGGCCCCCATTGACTTTGGGTCGTGGCTTGTTGTTGCTGGTTGTCGTTGTGGGGTTGGTTTTCCTTTGGTGCTTTGGTTATTCTGTGTTTTTCGTTATTGGTGGTGTTATGTTTCCGACGCTGCTGTCCCTGCTCGTGGTTCGCTGGCTCTTAGATCCTTCCCGTGTTCCTCCACGGTGTTCTGGGTTGCTACGTCTGCTTTCTATCCTTCTGCCGCGTGTTTGGCCCGGCTGCTTTTGCGTGTCTGGTGTTCGTATGGTTCGCATGTTTTGCTAGGCTGATGTTTGGGCCTTGTGGTGCTCACTGGGGTGTGGTTTTTGTGGTCTTCGGTTGTTTGTTTGTTTGTGGCTCTTGTTGTTTTGGTGGTGCTCAGGTTGCTTGTTTGCTCGGGATGTGGTTTGTGTTTAGTTTGTTTTGTCTCTTGTAGGTGCCGTTAGGCTTGTGTTTATTAATGATAATAATAAAAATAAAAAATAATAATAAAAAAATACAGATCTCTTGTTATGATTTCGTATAATCTGCATTGATTTTCGTGTTGTGTATCAAAACAGTATCGTACTTATCACCTACACAACTCTTGTGATTGTTGATGCATCCGTGAATTATGTTCTCAAAGACTCAATCTTTTGGAGGTAATGAAGGAAGAAAAAAAAATATAGGAAAGAAAATGTGGAAAACGTGAGATGTCCGGACAAGCCAAAATGGTCAATGTTTTTAAAAGCAGCTTTTAACATATTCTATAAATCAACATTGTACTCTGACAACCAAGCAAAGAAAACATCAAAGGCAGAAGCTTTGAATATCATAAATATAATCTACCACACAATTTCTCTTTAAATTCTTTTCTTAATACGTAGTATATATTATCATCAAGGATTGTTTAGTCTAAGTTATAGTGTTAACTGTTAAAGTTTAAATCTAAATTTAAATATACGTAATATATATTATCACTTAATCCACAATTTCTCTTTAGGTTCTTTTCTTAATATATATTATCATCAAGAAGGGTTGTTTGGTCCTTCAAAGTAGGTAGAGTGTTAAAGTTTAAATCTAAGTAAGAGCAAGGTAAGTATATAATTTTGCTTCTTGTCAAAATAAAATATACATAAGATATATCGAGTAAAGATATTTGTACCGATGCAGTGAATTATCTAACTCGAATGTTTCTGATTAGCTATTTATGCACAATACATATAAGTGGAATGCTCCACTTCTTTGTTTATGCATAAATGAACTAATTAAAATAAATAGATCTAACAATTCACTACAACAAATGAGATTAATGAAAGCGTGGACTATTGTGTATAAATAACTAATCAGAAACATTCGGTTAGTTAATTCACTACAATAAATCGGTGCAAATATCATTACTCATATATATTAGCATTTAACCCAAAAATTTTTTAAAAAAAAAATTTAAAGTCAAAATTACTTTCTAATCTTAAGTCTTAAACAAAGGGCAAGTTGAAAGACAAATGTTCGTGTTAAGTACACCATTAGTCAAAGAAATTAATGTATTAAGAAATATATTATAAAAAATTATAAAAAAATCATTGACCATCAGCTTTATCATTTTTCCATTCCTTTTTTGCATTTGTGTATTCTTTAATTGACTTTTCAAGTTAATGTTAAACATACAATACTGGTAAATCTTAGAATCAATTTGGCACCTCATGACTTTTATATAAATGTCAATTTCTAGTGAACAACTGAACATACTACTAGATTGTGTATATAGACCAGTCTGCTAAGTTGATTTTTTATGGACTCTGATATTGTAATCAGTTTTAAATCCCTCTGTTCCAACATTTAAATGGTCTAACCAAACAATGAAATACTAAAAAATAATCATCCTATATACATCATTCCATATATGCAACCAAAAAATTAGAATAAGAACGATCATATTATCCCTGCATCATTTCTATTCCATTGCACACCACATTTTGTTCCTGAGTAACAAAAATAGCAACAGTAATAGGTCAAGAACTCCACAGGCCAATGTGATCTATAGTGTTTATGAATTGAACAGGTCAGTAAACCAAACCCTAGTACAAGTCCTTGGTCAAAACAATCGTAATTTTATCACAAATTTCGAGTTATCATTTGTTCATATGCGTCAACAAATTTTCAGCATTTAATTGATTCTTCCCTTCCTCGTGTGTGACCTATTTGACACAGCCACTCTCTAGAGAACGAACACGGTGCGGACTTCTAATATGCAGATTAGGTAGCAAAAACTTGAGAAGTGGAAGTACTCGCCATGAATCAACTACATAAGACAGCCAACGTAATGAGCTCGAGGATATTTCCTCTGTAATTGTGGCCATTGCACGAAGAATTGATCAGCCATGCCTAACTTATAAAGGAGCAAGCCACTTAACGATAGCCTCCTCACTCTTGCTATACTCTCAACATAAAAGGTAGATGACCATCTAATCCCCACAACCTGCATGTAACATTGAAAGATGTAAAAAGAACCTGAGTGCTATCTTAAAAATTAAAAGAATAGAAAGCTAGAATCATCAAGCTAGAAAGACGCACAAACAGAAAAAACAAAAAAAAAAAAAGGCATAAAGAAACTTTCAACAAAAAGCATCAGAACCTTAAAACAGAATGCAATTGCGCAGAGAGGTATACAAGTTCCAGGTCCATTGCATAGAATCTGTTAAAAATACATATATTATGATAAAGAGATTTGCCACTGAAATGCAAAGATTAGAGAAAACAACAAAAAAAGAATGAAACTGCGATAATCTGTTTTTGTGTGTGTGCGCGCGCGCGCGCGTGTGAGGAGGGGGGGGGGGGGGGGGGGGGGGGGGTGTACGAAGGGTAAGAAAATTACCACTTGGGGTCTGATTTTAATCATTAGCCAAAGGGCATGAGCTATAGCAATTAATGTTGTCCCAACAGAGGTTAAATATGATTGACCTACTTCTCGGCTTCGATATATCTGCATAAACTGAGCACTCTTTGCCACCTCAGCTCCTGTCTGCAACAACAGATAATGATAACCATTTTAAAAACAATATGGTTCTGGATAAAGCAACAATATATCATCATGATAGTAAGATGCAGGATCCCAACTTATTTTAATGTTCACAATCAAAGGAAAAAATATAATCCAGCCATTTGTTGAAAACATAGTGATCTCATCACGCCAATAGGAAGACACAAGGCTCAAAAAATTACCATTTTCTCTCCTCTCAAATACTTTAAATATCACAAAATATAAGGAATGAATTCCACAAATTTTGTTGCCGCCTCTGTCAGAATTACACCACTGACCACACTAGCATAATCCAAACAAAAGCAACACTTGTCACCATTTGACAACACAAAGGTAAATGCAATTAATCTTATACTGTTATAGACAACGCACCCTTACAAACATCATCCACTTGGGAAACTGAACATGTGACATTGAGGATTTCATAGTACCTGCTCACATGTAAAAGCAAAGGAAATGAAAACTTGAATTTTTTGCTAAATAGTTTTATCAAGGGCGGGCCTCAGCATTTCATGAAACAGGGGCCAACAACAAAGAGAATGTTAAGTTAGTAAATAAAAAATCTCCATGCAGCTGCCGGGGAACAACCCTAAGCTCCAACAGTAATTAGATGGAACCAAAAGCCAAGAACCAAATACTCCCTCCATGCCACAAAAAATGTCCACCTTTCCATTTTTGGCTGTCCCAAAATAAATGTCTCAATTCAAAAGTCAATGTACTTTTGTTTTGTAACATTACCGATTTAACCTTATTGCATTGAATTTATAAAAAGTAAACCATCACATCATTGTGAACCCACTATGGGTAAATTGGTAATACATTTACTATCAATACCAAAAAAAAAAAACTATAAGTCATCACCTTAAAAAGTTAGATTCCCGAAAAGGGACTTTTTTTGTGGGACGGAGGGAGTACTTAATAAGCAATAACTATTTTATTCGAGACGGCAAACAAGGAGAAGTTATTGGAGGGTCCTGGACCATTTAACACTTGGTGGACTAGTCCAAAAGAAACTAATGTTGAGATTTCTTTGTAATATATTAATACACTCTTGTCGGGCCATTTTCTCAATCTGAGGGTCTACATTAAATTGGTCCACCAAGTGTCAATGATCCAAGACCATCTAATAATTTCTCGCAAACAGGCGCATCTCGGACCTCCCAACATATTTCTTCTTGACCATTCCGTGAAATTGTACAAAGGCACCTACATGGAACCACTGAACATAGCCAGAAAAAAAAAAAAAAAAAAAAAAAGTACTCGCAAACACTTATTGGACAGAACCTACACCTTTCAATAACTCCGAATATGGCCAAATGGCCAAATTAATTCAAAATAAGCTACCACAAAGATCTCTCTCTATTTCAGGGTAAGTACCAAACAGACGCTCATGTCCCGTTGGAACCCTGCACCTTACCTTTTCGGGGACAGGTAAAACTACTCAAGCTGACAGCTTGGTGATACCACAAAGAGTTCCTGTATAATCTTCTCCATATACTAATTTCAGTATCACAAGTATACTAACATATCTTTACCTGATGAAGCTGAAATTACAGTCCCCACAAGTATTTATTAACCCCAGTTTGCATGTTTACTTGAAGAAGAGCTTTATACAACTTTGGTTACAAATATTAAAACAAACTAGCCCCATCCTGGAGGAATCCTTCTTCTGAGTGACAAGATGATATTCAATTTCAGTGCACTTCTTTAGAGCTACACCAACATTTTCTCCATGAATTCAGGGATCCGAGACACTTAATACCGAGTGATGGCTTGAAAGAGCGCATAGATATTTTTTGAAAAAATATATTTTTCTTCATCATGCCAAACTACTTCAGTTTTTATAAAACATCTACCATCAAAAACTAAATGGAATTGATTGGACCTTAAATTAACATGCAATGAAGGTTGTAGAAATGGTCCTACTTGGTAATTTAAGTTACAGATACCTAACATTACCGATCCAATTGAACCAAAAACCTAATGACTCTAAGCCCTAGGTCAAGGTTTTGGGTTTGGTCAAGAGAAGAAAAAAAAAAATATAGAAACCCTAAAAACCCACATAGTAAAGGATGATGCCTACTGACGTTTGTATCTGGAGTGTAAGGATGCCGTCACGAGATAGGGAAGAAAATTAGGAACAGAAGACACCCCATGATGCAAATTATAAGATAAAACAACAATAAAATAACCAAAGAAAATCAAATTTGAAGAAATATTTAGGTACATGCACATATTCGCATAAACCTTTTAGCCACTCAAATCTCTATTAGTGAGCATGAAAAGAAATTTCTTAATGCTCTACTTCCCCCCCCCCCCCCAACAATAAAATAAAAAAGAGAGAAGAAAATGGCTTGTCCTACATCACCCCCATTAATTGCCAAGAAGCCCTTAAAATAAACCCTCCTCCTTGTCCATCCATTAACATAGGATCCCTACCAATGGGATAAAAGGTACTGAAGCCCTCTTGTCTAACATTAAGAACCAGGCCTATTTTCTCGCACCATTCCAATCAAATCTTGGAAGTGTTTTTTAGGCAGTGATGGCATGTCCAGACTAACAGAATCGTTTAATAAGATCATAACAAAAAAAATTGCCTAATGAATGGCGAGAAGTAGCCATTGTTTATGTATAAGCAAAAGGAATATCCAAATTTTTAAAAATTATTAGTATATCAAACTAATGAGTCATACTATAAACTTTAGAGGGTGACTGAAAAGCGATCAAGACTTAAAACAATGTCAGAAAATCAATTAGAATTTATGCCAAAAACATTAATAGGAGCTATCTACTTCTTGAGACTAATAGAAAGGTATAAAGAAAGAAGAAAGGTTATATGGTTTTGTAAATTTTAGAGGGTTCTATAAAAAGGAGTTAAAGGACATAACTTATGAGGGAGATGGTTTTCTAATCATGATATGCTTACATAATGAATCACCATTAAACCCCAATCTTCTTGTTTAAATATTGATTAGCTAATTAAAGCATTCAGGAAGGGGTATATGGCGTATGTTATTCATTAATGATGTTTTAATTAAAGAAAATAAAACAAGAAAATTGTTTATGCCTGAATTGAAACTGGACCAGTCTCTTCTTCGTTTAAGCTCCCACACATGGAGAATGAAAGATCTCACTTGTCCTAGAGTGCACAAAGACATAGACATCTCGTGGGACCTTGGCGGTAGAGTTTTAGAGATAAGCTTTAGGATAAAAAGAGTTTCAAATAATTAGGAATAAAACTAAATGTATGGAATGTTAATTTAGCAAAAACCAGGAATACAAATCGAGATGTAATGAATAAAGAGGGTTAAGAGATACTAAATAGGGAATAGTTTTTTTTTCCTTAGTTGGTACTCACACACACATGCCTCCACTGAGGCTCGAACCCCTGACCTTCCTTTGGAAAGTAGGGGTCTGGTACCGCTAGGCCACTAGCCCGTTGGTTACTAAATAGGGAATAGTTAAGCTACCAAAGCTCAATTATTCACAAGAAAAGAAAGATCATAGATGATGTTGCTCATAACATTAAAGCATAATGGGTTAAGTGAAGAATTGCTTCTGGTAAATTCTGGAATCGATGTATACTACTTAAAGAAAAAGGTAAATCAGACCAACCGTACATTAAGGATGATAATATCGGGTGGCTAAAAGACAATATGTCATAAAATAGACATAGTTTCAATAGAAATGTTAAAATGCATGTAAGACAAAAAAAGATCAAAATTTTAAATAAATACATTCATGATACAGTGAACATAGAAACCACTGGAGAGAAAATGAGAGAAAACCAACTACTATTGTTTGGTCATATGCATGAGGAAGATTGACATGAACTTTATTGAGAGTAATCCTAAAAGACAGGAAAAATTATAATTAAAATGGGCATGCAGTCTAGCTTAAATTATGACTTCAGACAAATAAAATGCCAATGCAGGATTCAAATTCAAGTAGTCAACCCAAATGGTTGAGAAAAATTTATGTTATATTAAGTTTTACATTTTTAATTTCCCTTTCACTAGCAGAAAAAGAAAAAATAAAGTCTCCCTTCTTCTGACTCAAGGCATCCTTTGTGGAAGCACTAATAGAAGATATGATAACAATTCAATAGTAGATGGTGTATAATATAGGACTCCTCATGGGATAAGTTCAGTATAGCACCAGACGGATGGGCAGTCCCAAAACTGAACCCAACAAACATTAACGGTTGAGTAAACCATAGCATGTAACTCAAGGAATGAGCAAGTCTTAAAAGCGAACTTGATCTTCAAGGTTTAGGTTTTGATTGTTAGGACCTTGCCAACCCATCTTGGCCCGAATGTGCAATCTTAATAAGAAGAGCATAAAAACAGCCTGCCACATTACTTATTTATTTAAGTAGCTTAAGAGTATAAGTCAAAAGAACTATCTCAAATGGTAGCTAACACTTACCCTGCCACATTACTTATTTATTTTCTCTAATTTATTGACATCTAAAATAGTGTTCAGGAGATCAGGAAAATAATAGGTAGCTTCATAAACGTGCTTCAAGCAGGTAGGCTAATAAGTATCGCCTTGAAGAGTAGGATAAATTTTGTGTGAAAAAAAAATAAATAAATAAAAGGGGGTTTTGCAGCAACAAAGTAGCATTAGAGATTTAGAGGTTTGGACTGGAAAATAGTCTGTGAAGGTGATCTTTTCATGGGAAACGGCAATTCCTATGACAATAATGCATATAGCCGTTAATGGATTGAAACAGTCAAAATCTTCTGCGCAACTCAAATCTTTGATCATTGAGCAATTTGCTTAGTAGAGAGGGGAATAAGGTTTTGGACAGGCATATGGTGCAAAACATTAAAGAGGAATTCTCTAAACGGTTGGTTAGCTGTTTCATTGCCCACAAGACATTGAAGGCAGTATTGTTGGAGATGTGACTAGGAGGACGAGGTGTTAAAGGAAATAAATATTATTTAGTGCATGCATCCTGCATAACAAAAAGTATCCTTCTGAAGCATGCACTTATATTGTTCTTAGTCTACTACACAAATTTGAGGACAATTTATATTGTTCTGTCACATTTCTATCAATGTCGATCAACTACAATGTCATAACTACATAGGTTGTTTACCCAAACTCGCCTATAGGTTGTGTATAATATGATAAATCCTTCAAACTTTCATATTCCTCTCCAATTTATGCTGCATACTAACCTCCAATACTACTATATTTTTCAATATCTTTATATCCTCCTAAATTTCTATGTCCCTCCCCAACTCTTATTTTTGCATTTGTAAACTAACACAAAATGCAAATATATCCTTCAAAAACATCTCATATTATTCAAAAATACCCTGACGGAAAATTTAATTAATAAATAAATATCTATAGCATGTGACATGTATGTGGGTCTGTCAACGTCTCTATGTATCCATATCTAACTTTTCAAACCTGTTTTAGCCAAGCCCCCCATAGCTAGGATTTAACAATTAGGTAAGTTCAACACTTCAATACATACCAGTACCTGATATCCATACCCATGTCCAGGTAACATAATACACATGTACAATCCTAGTCCATACATTGGATTCATTTCTCCTTCTACTCTTGTTAATGTTGCTTCATTAGTCATTCATCATTCACCAAGAAAAAGGAAAATGTTCTGACATTACTATAACACATGCAGCTGCCATTTTACCTTTTAGAACAAAAGTTTAATAGGGCACTATTTTGTGAAATACAAATCTCTGTTCACTCGTACATGTAAAGGTGGCAAAGCACGATACCATCTTTTTTTAAAAATAAAAAATAAGCTGCAGATAATAATGCCATATGCATGATAAAAATTGTTTCCTGAAACAACAAATGGGTCACATCAGACACTTAAAATTTAGTGTGCTCCCTACTAATCATAGATCATCTAGAAATAAAGAAATTTTATCATGGAAACCATGACATGGCTGTGAATCTTTGTAAACACCAATCAAAACAATCAGGAGGCTCTAAAACAAGAAATATAACATACCCCTCGATTACAAAGGCAAATAATTAGGAAATATCTGTCCCGTGCAGAAAGCGGAAGTGATATGTCACAGCAATGCAGCTAGACAATTCTAGTGCTTATAAATTAGAGGAAAAACATAAATCAAGTGCATGCAGCAATATAGATGAGACTCACAAGATTGCCATGATCATATTAGCACTTTCACATGTATCAAAAAGGCAACAATTGTGACAAATGATATTTTAGGTGGACACGATCTACCTTATCAACCAAAGAGTTCTCCAACTGGCGTGCCTTCTGAAGACTCATATTATCCGTGGCAGCAGCAATGTAAAATCTTGGTGTAAACATGTCTTTTTGCAGCATGTTTAAGAGATTTATCATCTCTGCTGTGTGACCCCCTACATTAGGATCAAAATAACGTGATTGGGGGTAATGACAAAAAACTTAAAAATAGGAAAATATGATGGCAGACTCACTAGCACACCTGAACCCAGAATAATGAGGGTACTGAGAGGTTGTGGAGATGAAGTGTGAAGCGGCTTACTGCTCCGATATATAACATAGAGCACACGGATGACAATTAAGCTGAGAGTGATAGTAAGGAGAATAGTGGAGACATTTGTCCTCAAAGTGGAGAAGAAACAGCAATTTCCTTTCTCCATTGCAAGAAACCTGCAGTTTCAGCCAAAGACTAACTTGCCTACATTGTAAAAAATCCAAAAACAAAGAAAAAGAGAACAATTAGAAAGAGAGGAGGGGGTGACCAAACCACATAAACAAGAAAGGCTTATGTAGCCTTTGCTCTACTTTCCATTTCAGTAACAAAAGAATGAAGATAATCTGGGCACTTTTATAACATAAAGTCTGAGCCAAAAACAAAACCTGATCCTAGTCCAATACATTTACATAGATTATCCCCTTATTTGGTGTTATATCCTATATGGAAAAGCATGTCGTCTTATTTGATTTCTTGCTTATCTTTTTTCATCTTCTATAAGAGAGACATTACTTTTATCATTTCTGAATCCGCAATTCAATATAGAAGGGTATATACTATATACCCCATATACGTCTCTCTTCCTTTCAAATTTTCCATGCAATTTGGAATACTTGAAGGATCAATTAAGCTTCGAGCGTATATTGGTCATGGGTTGAGAACGGGAATTGAACTCTATGAGATCTCTACTCCCAGTGTTCCTCAGTAGCTCAGTGGTAGAGCTACCGACTATTAACTGACAGGTCTTAGGTTTGTATCCTACTTGGGGAGATTTGATTCATTCAAAAAAACAAAAATAAAAAATTGTGAGATTGTGAGGATGGGTCGTATTACCAGTACAACATAGCAAAATCTCCAAGCAAAATATAAAAAAAATAAAAAAATAAAAAAATCAATAGAATAAATATTAACTGCGGACTTAATGGCACAATGATGTTGTGTATAATTTATTTTTGATAGCTTTAAAAATATGAGTACAGAGTAATTATAGAAATTAGTAGACAAACTTTACCTATGTATTCCGGTAAATATACAAAATACCCAATTCAATTTCACTAGAAATACAGTACATAATTTTCTACGGTTGCCCAAAATGCATTGATAGAGTCACAGGCCCAACTACATAGCATGCAGATAAAGACCGCATCATGATATAGGACACTTCAGAAGCTCGATTAGATTACACTAGCAAGATAGAGAGAGTGATCAAATATAGAAGATGTGCATGATGGAGTTAAGAATGTATGGTCATTTCAGATCTATCCAAATCAAAAAGTATATAGGCAGATAATGCCTACAGAGCCAAAAACATCGATAAACCAAAAAGGGAAAAACTTAGGTTTTTGCAGATTCGACGATTAAAACTGGTAACATGAGAAATTACGGTTAAATTGCAATTTCAATCGATGGGCTACTTTCTGGCGGAAGACTGATGTATTATCAGTGATAACGTGCTTATAAACACTTCTCTATATATTGGTTCTCTCTCTCGCATCTGATTAGACGAAAATGGTGGTATATGAATATATATATATATGAGATTGTTAATGGAAGGAACCTGACTTAAAATTGCAGCAGCAACTGAAGCTTTTGTTAGACAGTGAAGCCAAATTGGACAATCTGTTTGCGATCGGATGAAGCTTTTGAGATCAACTGTATACCTAAAACCAGACGGAGGATGAGGCCGAGTGAGTGGTGAGGAAAGCAAATTGAGTAGGTGGTGGTGGCGTTGGAGGAGGAGATTGTGGTGGTAGTTTATGAGGCAGTGGAAGATAGGTCATCACCTATCCAAAGCAAGCTTGCACATCAGAAATCTGGAGATGAATGACGGATCAATCGCCATTGATGAAAACTTTAGAGATGCCCTTTGAAATTCAGAAAATTTGAAAACAACTATCAACGATGATTTTATCATTTTTTTAGGCTTAATTACACTCACAACCCTCTGAGGTTTGCTCTATTGACGGCCAAATGAAAGTTGGCCCCTTTTTGAACCATGACCGCCCCTCATAACATGAGTGAGAGAGGGGAAGATGGGACTCTGAAAAATGGAGGCTTTGTCATCTGAATAAGGGGTGCACACCGTCCAGTTTGGACCGGATCGGAAGTTTTTTGGGACCAAACCATTTATAACGGCCAGTATTTTTGAAACCAGACCGAACCACAATGCCCATGGAACCAAACCGCAAAAAAACAGTTTGGCTTGGTTTGTCGGTTTCAGTTGATTTCCTTTTTATTTTAATTTTAAAAACAAAATTTCTTATTTTTCCCATTATATAATACATCAACAGGAACTTAACTTACTGAATTTCTTAGTGCTTGCTTATAGGTTCCAATTCATTTCTCGTAGACTATTATGCCATCTTAAATTGTCTGTCAATAACTCAAACCATTTCTTACAAGGTCAGGTTTTCTGCATTTGTTTAGATTATCATCTTGACCCAACTCTCAAATTACAAGCTAAATTATGGACTTCAAGTCTCTTCTAATACTTGTCATGAACACACTATGTAATCTATAAATTCATACCGCAAATGGAACAGGCAAAGTTTTTAGTTCCTGTTAACAAAGTGATTATCTGAAAACGTAGCCAACTGTTTGGAACAAAAAAATTGTAGGAGGAATCAAAAGAAAAAATTTGACCAAAAAAATTGTAGGATGAATCAAAAGAAAAATATTGACCAAAAAATGAAACAGGCAAAAAATTTGAGGGGTATCAAGGCCGGCCTTGAGATTGAAAAAATCTCTGAGAGGCCCTAGGCGAACTTTAATGTGAGGCCCTTTATACATTAGTTTCACACGCACAAAAATGAATGTCTATTTTTTGAATCCTTAGGAAAATTTTCAAGTTTAGCATCTCTTGGAGGACCTCTTTCAACTAATATATCTCTCATTTTTTTATCAATATTTTTCCAATTTCCTGGATCATTAATGTTCAAAGGAAGATTATCATTCTCATTCATATATTCTTCATTTACCAAATCTTCAAGTTCATTCAAATTTTCTTCATTTTGATTCTCATTCCTATCTTCATTCATTAAATCTCCATGTTCATTAAGATTTTCTTCATTCTAATGTTCTTCATTCACCAAATCTTCAACTAAACTCTCTGTTTGTGTATTGTTCCTAAAAAGCTTATGAATTTCGTCTTTTTGAGATTAAATCAATTTTTCTTCTGTCTTCTTTGTTTTTTTTCTTCTTTCATGCCCAGATTCAAATTTTCTTGTAGACATAAATGACAAAAATAAAATAAAAAAACAGAAATAGAAGCTATAGAATTATATATATATATATATATATATATATATATATTTGTTTTGCTGAAATAAAATGTAGATCAAAATGCAATGCAATGAATATGACACTATAATACCTTTTACTGTAATCAGCCCCTTCACACTAACACTCAAATCAAGCTCCTCCAAGTTGCTCAAAGCACAGAAGTCTACAAAAATGAAAATTTTGTTGTTTATATATTAATAAATTTTGTTACTTTATATTGTACTTTGTTTCCTATACAATTGACAGATTTATGCTTTATGCGGTTAACATCCAATTTATTATCAGCATGAAAAAAACCTGAATAAAATATATATATATATATATATATTGAATAATTGAAGAAATGACTTACCAGTCTGAAGTGATGAAAGCACTCTAAAAGATGGTAGGATGCTGTAATTGTAAAAATTATGATCCACGATAAGGGCCTTCAGCTTGTTCAAGACTCGAGTTCAACCCAAATTTACCAATTAGTATTTCAAATCCTCCAAAGGGAGATCCAGTTTCAGTCATTATCTTCACAAATATTTATAACTAAAATTCATAAAATAAAATAAAAAATTATATAAAAAAGATCATAAAAATTTCACCAAATAGGATTTAGTTTGCAAAACAAGAATTACAGACCTTGATTAATTGATTTAGAAAAAAAAAATTAAAACAAAACCCATACATACAAGTTAGCAGTTGAGGAGGGGGCAGAACTGGAACAGCGGGCGATGGAAACTGAAGGATATGGGTTTTGAATTTTTGAACAATCTGAAATGATATGCCGATATGGGTTTTGATATAGGTAATAGGTTTTGAACTTTTGATTCTTGCAGACAGATAGATAAACTGAAGTATATGGGTTTTGAAATTCTGATTCTTGTAGATTTTGTAATTTGCAGTTGCAGAGAGAGAGAGAGGGCAAGTTCAGAGTTGAGAACGAGAATAGAGATGGAGGCGATTGGGGATGCTGAAATGATTTGCCCTAAAATAAAAATAAAAAAAAAATAAAAATTCTGGTGGCCCGTTATCCATGGTCGCCTTGGGTCGGGCCGGCCCTGAGGGGTATCAGATTCTTTCTTGGATTGGTTCATCAATAGCTGCAGGACATAAACAAAGGCGAATATGGTGACCAGCGGGCAGGGCAGAAAGACGGATCATCCACCAAAGGGATAGGATTGAATTGCTGTATCAGCTGAAGAAGAATGACCCCACTGACGTGTGCCAGCTCCGGAGTGATGAAGATATACATAAATGAAATGATATGCCCAAACACACACACGTATATATATATATATAAAAAAATCGGTAAGAAGAAAGAGAAAAAGACAGATTCCGTTATGAGAAGAAGAAAACCTGGGTTTGATGAGGAAGGTGGAGCCTTTGCTTAAAACGTTGTTCTCTTTGTGGGGTTTGAAGGATTGGGAGGAGATCGTGAGAATGTTCAAGGCTTTTAAGGTTTCAGGCAGCGATTCAGCGAATGGTATAGTGAGAGACGATGAGGAATTGGATTTGGGGTTGTGTACTTGTGGGGGCGCCGCTGAGAAAGTGGGAGTTTTTTTTTTTTTTTTTTTTTTTTTTTTTTTCTCTTTTTTTATTGTTAATTTCACTGACACCCCTCAAATTTAACAAAATATCACATATATATATATATATATCTTTCGAAAAAAAAACTATCACTCATACTCCAAATTACTTTTTCGTCGCTAACACCATCAAAATGGATGAAAAATGATATTTTTACCCTCATTTTTTTAATACCTTTTAATAAAATAAAAAAATAAAAATAAAAAGTCAAAATTATATAAGGATGAAATTACCTTTGTCATACATAGTTAATCTAAAACGTTATAATTATATATATACACCATTACCCTTAATTTCACTCTCAGTGGTCACTCGCACACTCTTCGTATATCTTCCAACGCCGGCCACCTCCCACCATTTCATCACTAGCACCCGAAATTGTTTAAGCCCTAATTTTTCATGCATGGTTTGTTCCATTCTCTACAACATCGACAGTTCCATCAAATACACCGAAGCCAATTTTGCAATAGCCTCCTGGCCACCTTTTCTCGCCGACTTGCCCGTCTATCACCACAACTCACTGACTTAGAAGTCTTTTCCATTCTCTTCTTCTTATTAGAACTTTCCAGATTTTTTAATTTCAACCCAAGTTCAATTTTTCTTTTCTAACACTTACACTTGATATAACATTTTTCTCCACAAAAAATGACATGTTAAAATAAGTTTAGGAGACCCTGTTGTAATACCCCTAATTTTAAAAAGGATATAATGGAAATTTAATTAATTATTTATGTGCATTTTAAATTGATAAATTGATTATTTGTTTTGTGTGCATTTAAATATGATTTATCTGGCTAAGTGGTTAATTGTTTTACTTGTTTAAAATTGGTATTGTGTATTTGTTTTATGTTGTTTATTTATTTTAACTTAATTACGTGCAATTGGGATTTATTTTATTTATTAAATTAATTGGTATTTTTTTTATTATTACGTGTTTTTAAATGGTTTGTGTGACTTATTTGATTTAAGTTATATGGTTGTAGTTATATTTACGTTTAGGGTTTTGGTGTTAAGTATTTTGGTTGGCCGACTTATACTTGGGCTGGAATTAGGATTAGGGTTTTTTTGCATGAGTCTATATATATAGAAAAATATTTGTCTGCAAGACACCCTTTTCACGTAATAATCTGAAGAGGTAAACAGAGGGAAACTAGAGAAGAGAGAAATAAAGAGGTTTGAGGGGAAAAACACAGAGGGACACAGAGAGAATCAATTAAGCTTTCATCTATGGACTAAAGGTGTACCATAGAGGAAGGAAGAGGTTGATGCTGAGATAGAACTGGAGCAGTAGGAGAGTTGCCGGTAGTCTACAGTTCGTCGGACTAGTTAGCAACGGCGTTGAAAGGTTTCAAACCGAAACCTAGAGGCAAGTTTCATTCTATCTCCTTCCTATAAACTTGTGTTCTGTGCATTCTCTATAGTCTCCAGGAATCTAATTTAATTATTAAAATGGATGTTTATGCGTGATAGAGTCTCTGTACAATTTTAAACCCCTGTTCGCTTTTGAAACTATGAACTGTTGTGTTTTGGTTTTAAATTTTTTTGTCATTAATTTCACAAGAGAATTTGAGGAGTTTCTAGGATTTAATGAACTTGAATTGAACCCTAGGAATGTAAGAAAAATTCTAGAACGGAGGGTTGAACTTCGCCGAACGCGAAGAAGATAAACGGAGAAAACATAAACTGTTGCGTTCATGGTTTAAGCTTTTGCTAGGTAATTCATGCTGGAATAAAAGAAGTTTCTAGGCTTGTTAGGACTTAATTTGAACCTTAGAAATCTTCAACAAAAGGTGGGACAGAGGGCGGAGGCTTTGCCGGACACGAAGGAGGCAACACAGAGGAAGTAAAGAAGGAAAAACGGAGGCTAGGGAAGTGGAGGCAGCTCCACACTTCAATGGAGGCGGCTCCATTGAAGTGGAGCCGGCTCCACAAAGAGTTGAGGCGGCTCAACTTAAAATTGGAGCCGGCTCAACTTAAAATTGGAGGGGGCTCCAATTTTATAAAGTGCCCAGTACGTGAATTTTGTGATTTCAGGGCTCCAGTGTGTGTTTAAACTTGGTTTAATGGATTTGAATGATGTAATTAAATAGGATTATACCCAAGAATGATTAATCCTACCCATGAATAATTAATTCATGTTAGGAACTTGATCAACTTGGGATTTAAAATTAAATTCACATGCGGTTTACGGCTTGGAAGAAATTAAATTTCTTGTCGTGATGTTTAAGCAAATTTAATGGAGAGGTTTTAAAATGATGTATTTAATCTATTAAAAGACATAGAATTATTGGTTGAGGCTATGGGAGTGGAGGTCATGACTTTTAATTATTAATTAAGCATGCAGTCAAGGAGGGTAGAAGGGTTAATTTCTAGCGTGGTACTAGTAAATTAAACGGACTAAAATAAAAGTTATTTTTGTGAGGTTATATAAATGAAATATATAATGTATGGGTCCCAGGAATGTTGGTTTCTATTATAGTTATAGACATCATGAAATTTAGATACTAAATTATATGCTGTCAGGAGCAGTGGAAGTTGCAATTGCTAGTCTCGCTTTAGAAAACTAAATGGACTAGCATGGAGGTGGTTTTGGCATTCAAATAAAATGTGTTCAGTTTTTATATCTGAGTATCATTAGATCATGCTTCGGACTTATAGTTGGGGATTAAATAGTCGCCATGAGAATTAAATATTAATTTACATGCCGACAAGGATTGAGGAGGATTTATATGCTAGTCTTCGTTTTAATAATGTAAATGAACTAGTATGGATGTATTGGTTGGGAATTCTAGTATAATGTGCAGTTTATAATTCTGTTTTTCATTATATTATGTTATGGATGATAATTGCTGAACTGTCATAATTTCTGTTCTGTCAATTATATGAAAATGGATGGCTTAAATTGTTTATCAGTACTTTAACAATTTAAAAGGAGGATCTATGATTATAATCATATACTGGATGCATAATAGGATCTTAATAATATCGGTTTTCTATTATGCTAGTTTCTGAATTTATTTGATGTTCTAATGAATGTGCATCGTTTATGGATCATTTGCATTATATGTACCGGTATGGGACGGTGACATATCAGGGATGGATTAGATCAAAAAGCTAAGTCCTACCCCTTCTTACATACGGAATGGATTAACTAAAATAGTTAACTCCTACATGGATACATGTCCTGTCAACTAAAACAGTTGAACGACATAATGGATGCTTGTTTTATCTTTCGGCATTAGGAAGGAATTTATATATATATTTATGGTACTGTGATACGAGCTTGAGTCTCCTGATCACGGTTAGGGTGCGTATATCGCAAAGGTTGAGTAGCTAGATATAGCAAATGTTCCCTGGTAGGTCTAGGTACTTGGCCGCTGAAAAGCGTGTTTTATAGGTCACCTTCTACCCAGGCTGAACTATGTTATAGGCTAGTGAGCATCCTATAGTGTGTATTTATATATCTATGGACTATTGTAGATATTGCCGAGCTATCTAGGATATATCTGCGTATCGGGTTTATGTACGGATTGTAGTAGGATGGAACTTGCATGTGGGCCTGACCCACCTTTATTTTTTTCAGGTGTTCGTGAGTACCAGGCTTAGGGTTTGATCGTGGTGATGCAGATACAGTCACTCACTCTTCCGACTACATAGGATTTTCTTTCTTATTTTGGTTTTGGATTTTAATTCTGTAAATGTTTTACCAGTTGGAAATATTAGGGGTCCACTAGATGGATTCCCGAGTTGTACGAATTGGAAAGTTTATTTATATTAAAACTTTTATTTTGGAGGTTTTACAATTAGAATTTCTTTTCAGCGTATCATTATTTTATTCTTAATTCAGTTTTATTCTTACTTATTTATATATTGATTGTCTGGTATCCCTCGGATCTGTGTCCGGACTTGATCACCCGTGGCTCTAGAATCGAGGGGTATCACACCAGTGATAACAAAAGGTTTGATTTCAACTTTCACAAAAACTTTTTTAGATTTTTGAAAATACAAATCCTTTGAAGTTGAAGCCAATTATTTGTTATTACTAGTGCTCTTAACCACTCATTTCAACTTATCAATTTTGCAAGTGTCAGTATCAAATATCTGAAAAGACTGTTTTGATTTAACAAACTCGCTACTCAAATTATCAATTTTAAGTTCAAGTGATTTATTAAACATATTTAACTTTTCAAGTTCCTTTTTCATAAAATCAACCTTATGAAGAAGATTCAAATTTTTATGGCCCAGTTCTTCCAAATTTTTATTAGAGACATAAACTTCTAACTTATAAATATCTCTATCAAGTTCTGCAAGTTTCAAATTTTTTAACAAATTTTCAAAGTCCTTTTTAAACTTAGACCACTCAATGTGCATGCTTGTGACATAAGTAAAAAAAAATAGGAGGTAAAGGCAATACATCAACAAAAGATGAATTTTCAGACATGATGCTAAAATCACAACAAATCAACAAATATGATCTACTCAATATATCTAGTAACCCACTCTAATACCAAATGTGAGTTACGCGGTGCAGAAGCTGTTAGTTGATTTAATTGTGATTAACTCCTTTAACGACCTAGATGAGATTATTAGGTCAACTTACCCAATTTTTGTGATTGATTAAATTTCCTAATCAATATAATCATTTAAACATCCACAATCACAAATTTAAATACTGAAAAGTAAAGCAAGTAAAGTTAGAGAAATGGTACCAGGATTTTTAGCGAGGAAACTCTAATTGGTAGAATAGACAAATTGTTATGGGCAAAAACCTCGTGGACTATGTAGTCTAAAGTAAACCGATCCACTATGTTTGAAATAAAGTACAATGGACTTTGACTCAGGCTCACACCCTATCGTTATACCAAAAATTAATTGTTGACAATCCTCTGACTTTGCGACGTCTCGTTCAACGGCTCTTAACATCAGGCTTT